GTCCTGAAGAAAACAAAACAAACAAAGAAAAATTAAAAGAGAGAGAGAGAACTTAATCCCAGACTGTAGAGATGGCTCAGTGACTAAGAGCACTGGCTGTTCCTCCAGAGAACCCAGGGTCACAGCTGGCTCACAGCTTTCTCTAACTCCAGTGCCAGCAGATCTGATGCTTCTTCCAGGCTCCATTGTACACACATGGTACACAAGATATACATGAAGGCAAAACACCCATATGTGTAAAACTTATAAAACAAACAAACAGAAACCAAAAACTTGGGGACTTAGTCAGGTGGTGGTGTCACATGCCTTTAATCCTAGCACTCGGGAGGCAGGGGCAGGCAGATCTCTGTGAGTTTGAGGCCAGCCTGGTCTACAGAGCGAGTTCCAGGACAGGTTCTAAAGCTACAGAGACCCTGTCTCGAAAAAACAAAAAACAAACAACCAAACCAAACAAACAAACAAAAAAACAAAACAAAACTTGGGGACTGGAGAGAAGATACAGCTTGAGAGCACTGGCTGCTCTTCTAGAGGTCCGGAGTTGAATTCCCAGCACTCACATGGCAGCTCACAACTGTCTATAAGTCCTACGTAACCTGATGCCTTCTTTCCTTGTACAGGTATACATGCAGGCAAAACATACACACATAAAATCTATAAATTGTAAAACAAACAAATAAAACAACCTAATCCTAATTGGTAAATTTTTTGTTTTTATTTTTTAAAGACAGGTTCTCATGCTAGGCAGTGGTGGCACACGCCTTTAATTCCAGCACTTGAGAGGCAGAGGCTGGCGGATCTGTGAGTTCAACTCCAGCCTGGTTTACAAGAGTTAGTTCCAGGACAGGCATCAAAGCTACACAGAGAAACCCTGTCCCGAAAAACAAAACAAAAAAAAGATAGGTTCTCATGATATAACCTTGGTTGGCTGGAGTTTTACACATTTTGTGTGTTTTTCCAGACACAATTTCTCTGTATAGTCCTGGAATTCACTTTGTGGGAGTGCTGGGATTAAAGGTGTGCACCACCAACACCACCTGGCTGAGTTCTGTATTTTAATTATTTATTTTGTTGCCTCACAATTTCACATATGTACATAATATATTCCTAACAATTTCATGTATGTATATAATACACTCCGATTACTCTTCCGTCCCTACCACCACCACTTACATTCCCATCAATCCCTCTCCCAGGTTTGTGACTTCTACTTTTGTTTTGGGACCCAGTTTGAGCAGGGCCACCCATGTGACCACTGGAGTGGGAGTGTCCACGGAACCTGTTGGGATCACAAGTGAAGGCAATGACTTCCGCGCTCCCTGAATCTGGAACTAAGTTCTCTACTTCCACATTAAAGGCTTCTCTGGCCTCAGCCTTCAGCTTCATCTACATTACCCCAAGCTAGGCAGAAACTTTCCCTTCTCCTGCCTCAGCCTGTGTGCTGTCACATGCAGCTTGTCCCAGCCCTTTACCTGGACACTCCTTGCTTTCACTCCTGCTTGTGTCCAGGAGAGTCCCAGCTCACACCTTCCAAGGCCACCCATTCCCCACTCAAAAGGTCCATTGTCCTTCTCTGGCCTTCCTGAACATGTCTTACTATCTAACGTGAAGTTTCTTTCCCCAGCTAACTCCTTGCTGTCTTGTGTGTGTCTCTTCATCAGTAGACTGGAAACCATCCAGCTCTAGTTCCTCAGAACACATTTGCCTGGACAGGTACAGTAAAGTTGGTAAATTCTTGCTGAAAAGTGAATGGCCCAGGCTTACCTGTTTCACAATCCCAGAGACGACAGCTGTTGTCAGCTGAGCCAGTGAGGACATGCTTGGTGTCCCCTGAAGAAGGCGTTAAGAAACATGATTCGTGCTCAAGAAATGGCCCAATAGTTAGGAGCACTAGCTGATCCAGAGGTCCCAAGCTAGATTCCCAGTACCTATATGGTGGCTTACGATTCCAATTCCAGGGAATTCAATGCCCTCTTCTGGCCTCTGGGGACACCACACACACACACACACAAACATATATGTAGGAAAATCATTCTTAGGGTTGGAGAGACAGTTCACTGGATAAAGTCCTTACTATGCAACAACGAGGAGCTCAGTTAGAATACCCAGCATGTACATAAAGACTCAGGTGTGCCAGCAGTCCAGTGCTGAGTGGTAAAGTCAGGAAGTTCAGTTATTAGATGGCCATGCCCACCTACTCCGTGAGTTCCAGATTTAGTGACAGGTTATGTCCGATTTTTTTGCCTCAAAAATTTTTGCCAGTGGTGGTACATGCCTTTAATCACAGCATTCATGAGGCAGAGGCAGGTGTATCTCTGAGTTCAAGGCCAGCCTGGTCTACAGAGCAAGTTTCAGGACAGCCAGGACTACATAGGGGTAGTTGGTGGAATTGGGAGGCTGAAGAGATGGCTCTGTGGTCGCTCTTCTAGACCCAGGATAGTCTCCCAGCACCCACAGGGTGGCTAAAGCCATCTGTAACTCCTGTTCTAAGGAATTATCCTCTGTCAACACTGCACACATGGTACACAGGAAGACACACATGCAGGATACTGCACACAAGAAGACACACATACAGGATACTGCACACAGAAAGACACACATGCAGGAAAAAACATCCTTATAAATAAAACTACATTCTTTAGAAAGGAAGAAAGGAAGGAAGGTTGAAGAGTGACTGAAGAGGACAGCTGATGCTGACTTCTTGTCCACATACACAGATTCACCACAGACACAGATATACATACACCTAGTCCGTATACACAGATTCACCACAGACACAGATATATAGACACACAGCTTGAGCCCATGTTCTCTTGGAAGCCATCCAAAGCGTCTTCCAGTTCAATCCCAAAGAGCCTACCTCACTCTCTTACCTCAGTGTTCCAACCTTCTTCCATCTCCCCCACTGATGAAGCGACTGGGACTAAGGGGCCCGATTCTCCAGAGCGCCATAGCTTGTCAAACTCCCAACCTCACAGCCAGCATCTCAGTGCTGGCTGACTCACAGCCAAAAGGATACAGTCAGCATCGACACACCACACAGCTCCAGTGTGGCCCATGTAGGTGCCCAGCCTCTCGCCATTCACCGAGTACCACACATTGACGATCTGGAAGAGTAAAATGATAGGCTGGGTCACATCCCAGAAAAAGCAACAACTTATTTGGCCCAACAAACCCTCTGTAGACTCTAGCCAAGCCCAGTCTGCCTTCTGCTCCTTTATTAGAGGAGCGCTATACAAGCAGACCAGCTCCTGGGTTTTCTTCTTCCTAAAGGTAAGCAGTCTTGAAACCTGGCCTGCAATAGCATCCATAGTATCTACAATCAAAGGTCAAGGTGAGTTCTAGCCTGGAAAAACACAAAAAACTTTTGGTGTCCTGTCCAATTGGGACAGATGGCAGTAAGGATGTATGGGCTCCAGTGCTACTTTGTCACTTCCCTCTGAACTTTGTCTTTTTTCTTTCTTTCTTTTTTTGAAACTGGGTTTCCCTGTGTAGCCCTAGCTGTCCTGGAACTCACTCTGTAGACTGGGCTGCCCTCAAATTCTAAAATTCGCCTGCTTCTGCCTTCCAAGCAGAAAAAAGTGTGTGCCACCATTGCCTGGCTAACTTTGTCATCTTTAAAAGGGCTAGAGAGTGGCTCAGAGATTAAAGAGCACTGGCAGCTCTTCCAGATGACCTGGGTTTGATTCCCAGCATCCACATGATAGCTCACAAACATCTGTAAATTCAGTTCCAGAGGATCTGATACCCTCTTCTGGCCACCTCAGGCACCAGGCATGCACACGGACATACAATGCAGGCAAAACATGCATATTAAACAGTAAGCTGTGTGTGGTAGCACACATCTATATTCCCATGACTGGGAGGCTGAGGCAGGAGGATGGAGAGGCACAGGCCAGCTTGGAAAGACAGCCCATCCTTGCCAACAGCTTTCCTCAAAGGGCAGCTGTGACGTTCCAATGAAATCTCTGAGAAAGATAAAATGGAAGTGACTACCATACACCAGGTACGGTGAGAAAGCATTTAACGACCTCATTTTGTTGAGGGAGGAACTTGAAGTTCCATGTTTTATTAAAAGGGAAAATTGTAATTTAGAACGGCATAATGTCAGGTTCCAAGTCACACTGCTAGCAGGAGCAGGGGTTAGGACTCACGTCAAGCTGACTTCAGACTACGCACTGACAGTATCAGTTAACTGTCTCCTCGTACAAATGCCTCAAAAGGCCGTACCCAAAGCGACGGAGCACTGAGTATCAACACGGGGCTGAACAGACTAAGCTATGGACAGACTGACTAAGTCTCACTAAGTTCCACGTCTTTTTCCTCTTTCCCTTTCTGGTGCTAGGGATCCAACCCAGAACTAGGTGCACGTTAACCTCTGGAGTCTGAACTACATCCCCAAAGCCCCCCAAAATGGCACGGCTCACCGCCCATGGATCAACTTTATCCTCCAGACTGTAGAGGCTGTGCGTTCTGGTTCTTCCCATCCTCGAGTCACTAGGGTTGATCCCCTTCCAGTCCCCCCGCCACACAGTCTTATTTCTCTTCTTCCTGGGTACTCGTCCCTACCGACCATCGCTAGACTACCCCGGTACGGACGGTTCTCTGTGCGTTTCAGAAGAATCCCCCTCAGGCGGCAAGGCTTGTTCACCCACCATCCCGAGGGTGCGAACTCGCCCCTCCGGATGCCCCGCCCTCCCACCCAGTCTCCCTCCCTCGCGCCGCCGCTCACAGGGTCTTTGGCTACGGTGAAGAGGAGGTCTCCTTCGCGGTTGTACTTGATCTGCGTGATGGACCGCTCATGGCCCTGCAGCAGGATGGGCTTCTGCGGGGACAGAGCGGGAGTGTCAGCGCTAGGAATCCCGTCCCACCCCGACTGCGGCCCCAAAACCACAGCACCCCACGCGGCAGCACCATATGCCCGGCACTCACCATCCCGGCGCTGACGCGAGGAGAGGCAATGTGAGTAGGACCGGACGTGGACAAGAGGCAACTTCCGACTTGGGGACTCCGCCCCTTGACTCCCGGAAGTGGAAGGGCCTGGCGTTACCATGGCGGCGTCTCTGGGTGGGTAGCTGGCCCCGCCCCTCCGGGGGGCACCGACTCTGGTTTGGGTTTCATACCTCACTCCCCGGGCACCCGTGAACCCCAGCCCAGCTTAGCCCCGGACGGACTTCACTTCCCCCACCGTCTGTGCCGGACCTCCCGGCCTAGCGCAGCCCAGCGCGGAGAGCTCGGGAGGAAGATGGAGACGGTCAGCCGAGCCGGAGGGGGCCGGGGAGGGCCTGGGTGACTCTGTGCTCCTTTGCTTTCAGGGCAGGTCCTTGCTCTGGTGCTGGTGGCCGCCCTGTGGGGTGGCACACAGCCGCTGCTGAAGCGGGCCTCCGCCGGCCTGCAGCAAGTGCATGAACAGACGTGGGCCCGGCAGCTGCTGCAGGAGATGAAGACTCTCTTCTTGAATACCGAGGTGCGTCCGTGGACTGGCGCTCCCTCGTAGGAGCCGCTGAGCCAGCATCCCAGCCCACCTCCTACTCACTGGAAGCTCAGGGAGGAGTCACTTATTCCTTGTGAACCTCGGCGTTATCTTTGGTAAAATGGAAACTATATGATAACCTATGTGTAGGGCAGATGTAGTAAGTGAGAGAACGGGGCGGTGCTGGTGCATGCCTTCGGGAAGCAAAGGCGATCTCTGTAAGTTCGCGGCTAGCCTGATCTATATAGCAAGTTCCAGGACAGCCAGGACTACACAGGGAAACCTTGTCTCGAAAAACAAAGCAACAACAAAAAAAGAATTGAGGTAAGACATAAAACACTTAGCATTGGGCCTATTAGAGCATATACGTTCTGTCCGTGGCTGGTATTATTGTTACTGCCACTTCACCAATTATATAACTACTGTGAGCCTTTCCAAAAGCTTTCTTTGTGCTCAGTTTGCCCTGGCATAGAACATAACATAAGGAAGGATATAGAGAATTGCCTCCAACTCAGGGCTACCCAGGTACACCAGCAAGCTAGATCTGCAGGACTCTCTGGTCCAAGGGGAAGAAGGGAAGTTCAGATGGACTCCTGTGAGTTCTGAGGAGAGGGATGGAGCTGGAGGACCGGGAGTGGACTTCTTGGAAGGAGTGAACTGGCACTCAAGGCCATACAGGCTATAGGGAAGATGGGAACTGGCTAAGTTGAGGGAGAGGGCATTTATGGCAAGAGTGTACATTGAATTTTTTTCTCTGTGCCCTAAAGGGTTCTCAGGTAGGTGAGTCTTCTTGGGAATTTATTTATAAATGTAATTATTTGTATTAGATATGTTGTTGAAATAAAAATTATTATACACACACACACACACACACACACACACGGGCATTTATCCCTCCCCTTTGGGGGAAAAGCATGTGTCAGAACAGCAGTTCTCAGCCTGAGTCATGACACCTTGGGGTTGGATATCAGGTATTTACATTACAATTAATAATGGAGGCGCTGGGGAGATGGTTCTGACATTAAGAGCATTAGCTGCTCTCACAGAAGACTCAGGTTCAATTCCCATCACCCACATGGCAGCTCACAACTGTCTGTAAATCCAGGTCCAGGGACTCTGACACCATCTTCTGGCCTTGAAGGTAGTGTCTGCACTTGGTGCATAGATGGTTATGCAGAGAATAAAATAAATAAAATGAGGGGCTGGAGAGATGGCTCCACTGGCTGCTCTTCCAGAGATACTGAGTTCAATTCCCAGCAACCAAATGGTGGCTCACAACCATCTGTAATGAGATCTGGTCCCCTCTTCTGGCATTCGGGCATACACGGAGGCAGAATGTTGTATACATAATAAGTAAATAAATCTTTAAAAAGATAAAATGATTCAATGTGGCAAAAGTACAGTTATGAAGTAGCAATGAAGCAATTGTATGGCTGGGGGTCTCCAGGACATGAGGAACTATGTTAAAGGGTTGCAGCGCTGGGAAGGCTGAGAACCACTGTGCTAGCGGGTCAGATGAGGATGTTGCGTGAACAGGCAATGCTGACAGACTTCTTCTCTTTCCAGTACCTGATGCTCTTTCTCCTCAACCAGAGTGGCTCCCTTCTCTACTACCTGACTTTGGCATCAACAGGTGGGTCTCTGGCTTGGAAGTCCTCCACGGTGGACGCCATATTTTGTGAAGGGAATCGGAAATACCTTGTGCCTATCAGTGAGGTAGAACATCTGTTTCTGATCCCCCTCCGGGTCCCAGGGGCAGTGAGATGGGTGTGAGTGTGGCCAGGCACTAAGGCTGGCCTGGCCATCTCGTGCACAGCAGGAGAGGGAAGGTTCATTTTGCTGTCATTAAGTGCTGACTTGTTTTCTTTATTTTGGGAGGAGGGGACTTTTTGTGTGTGGGATAGTTTTTCTTTTTGCTCGGTAGTTTTATTTTTTTTATTGCATTTATTTTTTCTCTGTGTGTGTATACACGCATGCATGCATGTGTTTGCGCATTTGTGTGTGTGTCGAGGATAAGATTTGGGAAGAGGCTCTCTCCTTTTACCTTGTAGGTTCTCTGATGAGCTCAGATCCCCAGTCTCGATGGTAGATGCCTTCATCACTGAGCATCCTCCTGGCCCTTGTTTGCTGTTTTTGAGACAGAGTCGCACTGTGTAACTCAGTCTAGCTCCAAAATCATGATCTTCATGCCTCTGTATCCCGAGTGCTAGGATTAGAGGTGTCCACCAGTCACCCGTGTAAGTGAGGCTCTGATGCTTCTGATTCCACTGTGCACTGCTTGCTTAGCCTAAAATAAGCCCCTTATTTGAATCATGGTTCTAGATAGTGGGCCTCATAGCATTGTGAAGAAGATTGATTCAGTGTCTGAGAAAAATCTAGCAGAGTGCCTGACATACAGTAGAGGCTCAATAAATATAAATTTTCTTTCTCCAAATGTTTTTTAACTGTTCCTAATACATCAGATTACATATTTGTATCATGATCTTTGCAAACAAACATACTTAACTTCATAAACAATAATATTGGGGAATGTACCATGCTTGCCTTAATCCCAACAGAATGCTAGTGCAAAGGGATTTGAAATTGTATATTAATGGCTATAAGCTGGGCACCCAGAGGCTGAGGCAGAAAGATTATCACAAATTCATGGACATCCTGGGATACTGGGTTCTAGACTAACGTGTCTCAAAAAAACAACAAGAAACTATATCTCACCCCCAAGATTTATTATTTTGAAATTCTGCAAAAGTCTCCTTGTTGTGGTTTTACCTACCCTAGAGTTAAGAGTCCCAAGAGGAGGAAAGGACCTGGAAAGGTAGTCTCCAGATCTGATTCTTGCATTAACTAGAAAGATTCAGTACTCTTAAGACGTTAGTTAGTTAGCCAGGGATGAAGCTCATCTGGTAGAGTGCTTACCCGGCCTGCACAAAGCTCTGGGTCCATCCTCAGCACCACATAAACCCTTCGTGGTGGTTAACCACCCTAATTCTAGTACTTAGGAGGTGGAGGCAGGAGGAGCAGAAATTTAGGGTCATCCTCAGCAAATCTTCCTTGTAACCCTTGCTGGCCTGGGTAGGATTCAGTATATAGATCAGGTTGTCCTTGAACCTGAAGCAGTTCGCTTGCCTCCTGTGTGCCAGGAGCACAGCTGTACACGTGCTGCTTGGCCTTGTTTCTGGTTTAAGTCGTGTGTGTGTGTGTGTGTGTGTGTGTGTGTGTGTGGTACAAAGGAGTGCATGCTTATGTGTGGAAGCCAAGGTCGATGCTGGGTGTCTTTCTGAATTGCCCTCCACTGTGGTGTTTGAGACAGGGTCTCTGGTGCCAGAGCTCACTGGTTGCCCATCCAGGCTGATGAGCTAGCTCAGGGCCCCACCCATCTCTGCCACCCCTGTCTCCCCCACTTAGGTTACAGACATAGTCCGCCTGGCCCAGCTTTTCACAGCCTGGAGTGATCTAAACTCAGACCTCCATGCTTTCATGGCAGGCACTGACTGACTGAGCATCTCCCTGACCACCCCCCACCTTTAACAGAGTTGTGCTGTGTGGCCCAAGCTGACCTCGAACTGGAGATCCTCCTGCCTCAGCCTCCTGGTCACTGGGATCATGGTTTGTTCCCAATATCTGCCTCATGATGCTCAATTTTCTTTATTTTTGAGACAGAATCTTATTGTGTAGCCCAAACTGTCCTGAAACTCCCATGGTAGACCAGAACTGGCCTTGAACTCACAGAGATCTGCCTGCTTCTGCCTCGAGCTCTCAGGTGTGCTGTTTAGTCACTAGTGTCAGCTTTCTGCATTTTCTCTATGTGGGCACTTAGTGCTATGGAATGTCCTCTTAGCACTGCTTTCAGAGTGATGTTTTTGTTTTTCTTTCTTTGTTTTTGTCTGGTTTTTTTTTTTTTTTTTTTTTTTGAGGCAGCCTGTATCCCTGGTTGTCCTGGAACTCAGAGATCCTCCTGCCTCTGTCTCCTAAATACTGGGATTAAAGGTGTGCACCACCACCTGGCCCCCAGAGTGATTAAGTGTACTGCCATGTCTGTGTTGTGCTACTTTTGTAAAGGTGGTGATGGTAAGGAAGGTGATGGTGGTGATGAGGAGGAGGACTTTGTCTCTAGAAAGGCATCTTTGCCTCTAGGAATTTTTCTTGTTCTGACTTCTCAGATCTGACTTTAGCTGTGCCCATCTGCAACTCTCTGGCCATTGTCTTCACACTGATGGTTGGGAAGATCCTTGGAGAAGATGTTGGTGGAAAACGTAAGTCCAACTGCTGCATGTAAGGATAGCTGCTTGGACCTTGACATATGTGAGCATTTCCCCTGAGTCTGTCTCCCATGGGTGGGAGAGGAGAGGCCTTCCCTTATCTTGTCCTGGGGTAGGAATCGGGACCAGACCCCATCAGTCCCCCTTGGCCCAGCTCATCCCCAGCCCCTTGGTGTTTCCTTTATCTCAGAGGCAGTGGCTGGCATGGTACTCGCCATTACAGGGGTCACACTTTGCATCACAAGCTCGGTGACCAAGACCCAGGGCCAACCGTCGTCATCTTGAGTGGCCAACCCTGACCTTCAGTTCTGCTGTGTTCTGCTGTGCTCAGCAGACTCCAGGCACTGAGGTGCACCAGGGGGATACACCAGTTTGGCTCTCTAAGCTCAGCCTCCTCATCTCTCGGATCACATCTACCTCAGGGTCCAGTGTTCCACGACAGCCAAGGAAGGCTACATGGAGAAACCCTGTCTCAAAAAAACAAAAAAAGAAAAAAGAAAGAAAGAAAAGAAAAAAAGAGAAGAAAAAAGAAAAAGGACCAAGGAGCAGCCCTGGGATGGTTTTGTAATCTTTGGTGGGTTCAGCTGTTGTTGAGATTTAGCACTGGAGCCAGGAGTCATGACACATACCTTTAATCCCATCACTCAAAAGGCAGCTACACAGAGAAGCCTTGCATGAGAGAGAAGGTGAGGAAGAGATTTCACACTGGAGACTTTTACACACACACACACCCCAGCAGCCCCTGTCCAGCAGCCGTCTGTTACTGGCCTGCTGGCCTGCTCTAGTCCACATAGCCTCAGCTGTGTGGAAAGGGCTGGCTGCAGTCTCTGAACCAGGTTGTGTCTGCAGAGCTCCACAGCCTCATTACTCGGCATTACTCAGGGAGAGTGGTTGCCTCAGTCAGAATGGCAGATGGAAGAAAAGTGAGCTGGCCCTGAGCAAAAATGCTCAACTTCCAGTTCCTCAAGTAAGGAGACAGCTGTGCCCGAGCAGCACCTAGCTGCAAACACCTGGCCAGCAGCAGCTTTCAATAAATCTGCAGCAAACAAAGCTTAGCAAGTATTACTTTATTGTGACAAGCCTGCTCCTAAACCCAGTCTGTGGTGCCTTTCTCTGCCAGGGAATCACACAAGGAAGTGGCCTCCTCCACAGAACTTGCTGGGCTTATGAATGGGGAGGGGCTGAGGAGGCCATACCTACTGCGAGCCCAGTGAGGCCTGGCTTCTCGGGAGCAGGCTGCCGAAAGCTGGGGTAGCTTGGAGTGGTTGTCCTCAGCTTCTGACTGGCGTTCCTAGCACTTAAGATGGTGGCGCACGCATTGGCTGAACATGAGGCTGCCTCTCCCGGGTCAGGCAGATGTTGGAGGACAAGGCCTCTTCCCCTGCCTCTGCTGCCCTCTGGTGGACATTTGGAGACATACAGAGCCATACAGATGCCCAGTTTGCCTCCACTACCAGAAGTCCCCAACCCAGGAAAGGAGACTGGGAATTAGAAAGCCTCAGTAATTAGGAAACAGGAGGGCAGGCTTTCGGTCACCGGGAAGATGTGTCCTGGGGGCCCAGACTTTAGGTCAGACCTTTGCCCATCTCAGGGTAAGGCTTCCCAATCTGATGGGCTCACCTGACCCACAGGCTCCTCTATGCAGGTGTTATCTTCATCCACTTCCTGAGCCCCGGCTGTCTCCTTCCTTGGGTAGGAAGCCCCATAAACTCCCTTAACTCCTAATAAGGAGGCAACACTGGTTGATGCCCAGGCTGAGAGGGTCCTCCGCCTTCACTGCCTTCACCTGCTACACCAGTTCCTTCCCCTGAGCCTTCCCACATTCTCCAATGCCTCTGAGGAGGGCAAGGAAGTTCAGCTGCGATTCCACCTCTGAACCTCTTGACTTTAAGCAATGCCTTTTCCATGTGGTTTTTACATACATCTCTAGGAAAGAAGCAGTGACTTGGAGGCAGGAGACTGGCACTCAACTCTGCTGAAGTCCCCTGCAGACACCTCCAGCATGTGGCAGTGACTGACCTGAGCTAGCCTGCTTCCCAGAATGTAAGCAGGAGGGAATGATGTGAAGGGCCCGCCCCCCTCATCTGATGGAAGTGAGAGGGAGAGAGCCTGCTTCCTGGCCGAGTGGACTGGTGGGATGTGGCATGGAAAGCAGATGGCTCAGTTAGTCTCGGTTCCTCTGGAGAAGGCCGAGCCACGTGAGCCTGGTGGCCCTGGAGGGACACAGAGTTAGAATCCATATGTTGACTGTTCTTACCTCCCTGCTGCCCAGTGTGCCCTGCTGCGTACAGGCTTGTGAGGGCCATGTCCCATAGAGTCTGCATCCTTCCCACCCGTATTTGCTCCTCTCTGGCTGTCCACTCAGGAATAGTGCAGTTGATACCGGCATCCAAAGATGCCCAGGGAAACCAGGCTGCTTTCTACTCTGGTGCCACATGTTCCCTGGCTCATCTGGGAGAATGGAGGCCTGGAATGGGTGGTGAGTGGAGGTTCCCTTGGGCCCTGCTATGCCAAGTAGCCAGTTCCAACAGCCTGCCTAGGGGGAGGCATTTGGCATGGCATGTGCTACTCTATAATTCCTAGCCCAAGGAGGGGGAATCACTACTTCATAGGACAGGGTAAGGCTGGACCCTCAGCCAGTCATTCCCCTGCATCCCACTCTTACCTATCCCCTGCCTGTGGGACTTCTGCTTCCGGCCTGGAGGATACCTGCAGTAACAGAAAGGTTTGTAGTGGACAAAGGAGCACACAGTGATAGCTCCCAGGCAGAGGGCACTTCCTCTGCTGTGACCTGTGACCCTCCATCTCAAACAAGCATACCAGCAGCCCTTGAACAGAGAGGGGCTGGGCACCAACAACTCCATGTAGGGGAGGGCTTTGAACTCTTCTTCTCCAACAGCCACGTAGTGACGGCCACTCACCAGAGCTGTGCCTGCTGACAGGGGGAGCCCCCTGAGGGTGCAGAGTCTGGGGGGAGAGGTGATGGGGGTTGCTGGGTAACAGGCTGCTCTCTGCCAGCAGGTGCTGAGGTAGGGACAGCTCCTGGGGGGATCCTCTGACTTTGGTCCTCTGGGCAATGTTAACCTAGGTTCTGGCCTGATTTGAAGGGCTGGGTTAGGGAGCCCGTCCCGAGGCACAAAAGAAAGTCCTTTTGAAGAGAACATGCCTTTCCGTGCCCTTCCCGACTTAAGAGCTGACCACAGCAGTGGGGCTCTGGGGAGCCTGGCCTCCCCCGTCCCCATACTCACTGGTGCACAGCCCCACTCTGTAACTTGGCCTTCTCCGTCAGCAGCTTCAGTACCGTTTCCCAGTCCTGGATGGCAGTCTGGGACAGCTTCAGACTAAAGGGGGGACTTAGTAGGTCCCCATTCCTGAACACACTGAGACAAAGAACAGCCAGGTAAGGGAATGTGTCCCTGAGTCTCCACATGTGAAAGGGGCACAGGAGCCAAGTGATCCAAGGAGCAAGGGAACATGGGAAAATTAAAATTGGAACATGTAAGTGGTTCTTGGTCTCACTGACACAAAAATCTATACCCCGACCCCCAGTGCCAGCACTCACAGGATATAGCAGGGGGTATCTGCTGGCAGCCACTGTCCAGAGGCCCCGTCACATGGGTGGTGAGACATAAGAGGCTCCTGAAACCCAAGCCAGGGAAAGTCCAAGACTTCGCTTGCGACTGGCTGGTTCTAAGAACATGGGGAGAGCAGGCAGGAAGCAAACTTGTGCAGAAGAGTGAGTGAGTCTGCTCACACCTTTCTGAGAGGTGCACTTGTAGTCCCTGAGTCACATGACTCCTGCCCTTGCCCTGTGTTGGGCTGGAGATAGGTAAAAGGCCGGGACTGAGCAGGGGCTGGAGTGAGCATGTCCCCTGGACTGGACACCTCCTGCTGTTTCCAGGACCCTTTTCCACCCACCAAACTGAAGCAGTCCTAGGAGGAAGGATGGGACGAGAAAGGCTGCAGAGTCTCCCCGGACTTGGACTTACATGTTGTCGGCCGCTTTTCCCGCCTGGGTGTTTCCTTCCAGGAGGCAAATAGCTAAAAGGACAAGTAGGTCTCCGTCACCTTAAGGAAGCCTGAGCCCCAGCTAGGCAGGTTTATTGCAAGGCTACTCTGAGGTCACTCTGTAGGTTGAGTTTGTGGGGAGGGCGGCAGGGAGCAGTTTCAAGACAGGGTTTCTCTGTGTAACAGCCCTGGCTGTCCTGGAACTCGCTTGGTAGACCAGGCTGGCCTCGACCTCACTGAGATCTGCCTGTCTCTACCTCTCAAGTGCTGGGATTAAAGGCTGTGCCACCACTGCCCGGCTGCCCTGATTAATTTTGAGATAGGATGGGTGTCATGGACCAGGCCTAATGTGAGTGGTGCACGCCCTTAATCTCAGCACTTGGGAAGCAGAGGCAGGTGGATCTCAGTGAGTTCAGTACCAATCTGGTCTATAGAGTGATTCCAGGACAGCCAGAGCTACAGAGACAATAAAAATCTAGCACTCCAAAGTGAGACTGAGATGGGAGGCTGGAATCCCTCAAGTGGTCCAGTCTACTCTGTGTGACTCAAGATGACTTTTAACTTATGAGCCTCCGACTGCCACTCCCATGTAGTTACTAGTCTGACTCCAAAATCGCTCATTTGATCTCCTGCTCCCCCCATCATCTCTCCATGCTTTCTCCTGCTGTAGCTAAGCATCTCAGACTCTCCCTTAGGCGAGGACTTCCTCCTCTGTAGGATGAGCCCATCTTTCAGTAGCTGCCCAGCACCCCAAGTGTCCTTCCTCACTGGATACTCTGCCTTTTTTGGGCCAGGAACATGTGGATATTTGAACTTGCTGCAGGATCCCAGAGAACTGAGTCAGGCTATAAATCCATGTGGCTTTTAGGTGTTGAAGGCTGGGGAAAGCCATAAGTATCTTACTGTAGTCCAGAAATTCCTCATTCATGAGGTGACTTTATTTTCATTTTGTATGACAAAGTTGTGGCTTGTTCAAAATTCCACAGGAAGTGTCCAGACACCATGTTCCTTCCCTGTAATAAACTTAAACTACCCCAGCTCAGTGTTCAGAGCAGGGTTAAGAGCCAGGCCTGAGTGGGAAGCTCAGGTCATTTGTGTGTGTTCAAATGTATATTGGTGTTCTGTCTGCATGTACATCTACATGCCAGAAGAGGGCATCAGATCTCATTACAGATGGCTGTGAGCCACCATGTGGTTGCTGGAAATTGAACTCAGGACCTCTGTTAGAGCAGCCAGTGCTCTTAATTGCTGAGTCATCTCTCCAGCCCATGTGGGGGGGGGGGCCGGGGGGGTGTTTAAGACAAGCTTTCTCTGTGTAGCACTGGCTGTCTTGGAGCTAGCTCTGTATACTAGACTGGCCTTGAATTCACAGGGAATCACCTGCCTCTGCCTCCCGAGTGCTGGGATTATTATCTACCACTTGACCCTCATCTTGCTGAAAGATGACCCTGCTCTAGCAGGAGTTTCAGACGCTTAAGCGCAGCAAGGGGGAAGTGGACAGTTTTAGGGTTTGGTGATGATGGCGGCACGGATTTAATCAACAGCTCTCAGGAGTAGAGAGATGGCTCAGCAAGCAAAAGCATTTTGCTGCCAAAGTCCTACCACCTTAGAGCCCACATGGAGGAAGGAAAGAACTGGCAAGTTGTCCCCTGACCTGTGCGGACGTGCATGACAAATACACAAGATTAAAAAGGCTGGAGAGAGGGGGCTGGAGAGATGGCTCAGAGGTTAAGAGCACTGACTGCTTTTCCGGAGGTCCTGAGTTCAATTCCCAGCAACCACATGGTTGGTGGCTCACAACCATCTGTAATGAGATCTGGTGCCCTCTTCTGGCCTGCAGGCATACATGGAAGTTGAACACTGTGTACATAATAAATAAATCTTTAAAAAAAAAAAAGGCTGGAGAGAGCTGGGCAGTTACAGTACACACCTTTAATCCCAGCACTCAGGAGGCAGAGGCAGGCGGATCTCTGAGTTCGAGGCCTGGTCTACAGAGTGAGTTCCAGGACAGCCAAGTCTACACAGAAAATCCTGTCTCAAAA